GCCACGAGTTGGCCCACTTTTTAGACATGGAATTCAATTTAAGGCAAACAGAAGACACAAATCCATGTTTCTTTAGCTCCTTTTTCTCCCCTTTTTCTTTTGGTCCCCTTTACCTTTTCTCTCATTAATGACCATGTAGCATGGGAATAATTAAAAACATGCCACACATAAGTTCTACATGTCAATTTGTACTTAGAATTATTCAAGTTCTTAGATACACTAATTTTACACCTCAGAGTGCATCCTAAGGAACTATTCTCACACACAGAAAGAAAACCCTAATATAAAAAGAGATGTTTAATGCAGTATTTTTAAATCATGAAAAAATTTTGGAGAAAACCTTTAAATACATAATAATTGAAAATGATCAATTATAATTTGACATATCCACCATATTCACGTAAGTGGTTCATTAAGTTGTCATGAAAATAATGTGTGTGGAGACTGAACAATATAGGAAATACTTATATAATTAAAAGAACAAATACAAAAATAAAGTACGCATAGTGATGATTGAATTTTGCTCAGGAAAAACTATAAAAGAAAAAAATGGCAAAATATTAACAGTGTTTGTTTCAAATACAATCCCAAGGTGACGTTTTCATTTTTTTTTCCTTTTGGATAGTTTCTAAGTTTTCTTTAAGTCTTGTGTAATGGAAAATATATACCTATGAAAAATTTTGAGTTTCAAAAATTTATTTTTAAGTTCTCATTCTCCATTTTTGTCTCCTTGCCTTAAAACCAACACCCTATACATCAGTCTCACACTGGTTTATTTGTTGTTTCAGACCAAAGAAATTGGGCCCATTCTAGTCTCTGTCCCAAGGTTCTCAGGTGGAACCTGGGCAGGTGGTATTCTGAGCAGAAGCAGGTGATGGGGCGGGGGGGCGCGAGACTGGGCTCTGGAGCCTGGCATAACCTAGACACAGCATGGCTGCCATACCACATTTAATTATTGATGGTGATAGGGAATATAAATTCAAATATTTTACAGGTTGATTATAACCATTCACTAAGTAAAAATTGGGTGTATAAATCAAAACAAAGGGGACGAATAAGCAAAGAAAATGTGAGTAACAGATACTAATGATAGAAAATGAGACTCTTTAAAGGAAAAACAACAGACATCATAAAATGGCAAAACTAAGACAAATCATACCCCTTCCCTAATAAGTGTGAATACTTTAAATCTCTCTAGAAAAAAGACAAAGAATATTTGATCCAAAAACAAAGTTTGTATTTTGTTTATATCAACACACATTTAAGACAAAACGAAAGTTCTAAAATAAAGCTAATATTACCAACTAAGATATAGGATGCATATATGAACAAAAAGCAGGGATACAAATATGGATTAAAAAAGTAAAAAGCGAAAGAGCCAAAATAGAACAAATGTTATTTTTTTTTTAGATAAAAGGAACAATCAACAAAGAAGCTATGACAATCATAAACAACTATAAATATTTAAGCAAAACCCCCAAATATAAAGGGCAACAGACATAATCATAACTGTGGGACAATCATCTTGGGGTAGAATACACTAATGCTGGACAAAAGTAGAAAAAAATATTTGGATCCAGAGTATTTGAATAAGCTCTGAGGACTTGGTCTATGCTACAGTGGGATAATGTTCTGAAGCATCAGTAAATATTCCTCCTCCTGTATTTCAGTTACTTTCTAGCTGCTGAGACACAATACTGGACACCCACAACTTAAAAGAGGAAAGGTTTATTTTTGGCTCACAGTTTGTGGAGGTTTCAGCTCGTAGATGGCTGGCTCTAAGAATGAAAGAATTGCTCAAGGAACAGGAAGCAGAGAGTGATCAAGGGAGTGGGAGGAAGATGCACCCTTCTGGGCCACACCCCCAAATGACCCACCTCCTCCAACTAAGCTTCACATTTAGCTATAACCCCATCACACCCCCATAATCCTATCACCTCCCCCAAAACCCATGTATGAGTGCATGAGGCTTTGGGGGAACATCTAGCTATGAACTGTAACACCCTGTATCACCTAGCTAGGATTCTTCAGCACTCCCATACCCACCGCCAGATAGATGTGAGTCTCTCCTTACAGAACCAGAGAGAAGGACTGCAAATACTAGGTTTAGAAGCTGGTCCCAGCATAAGACAGAGAAATGCCAGTGTGTACTTAGTGGCAAAGCAGTCTGCAGACCAAGGAGAAGAAAGGGATGGAGAGAGACAAGGGTTCATCTTAAAAGAACACTCATACCTCTGCCAGAGTCTGGGCCACCTCCTCAGAGTGCCAGAGACAACTTAGGTGTCCCGTTGGCATAGTCCTTTGAAGTTAAAGAATGTCCAAATGTCCTTCAGTTCAGAGTGGTGTCTGTGTCCTAAGACTCTTCCCTGTTCCTGTTAATTTCAACCCACGAAGACAACCTGCACAGTTTCTTTTTATTTTCTCTCCATCTTTGCCCCCTTAGCAAAGATAGTGGATGACATTTTTATATCCTTCCCCAAACAAAGGTGCTATGGGCCCTTGGGTGGCTTTAAAGGTGTCATAGGCTATGAGGGAAAGCCTAGAATGGCCAAGCCATTCTGGTTTCATCCTGCTCTGAGCTGCAAGCTGTGGCAGAACACAAGTTCCTATTGCACATAAATGGCAAATCTGTACACTAGAAACCGGAATGCCACACATCATTGCAAACTTCTATGGTAGATATCTTCATTTTAACATCACAGGCTGTGTACAAAAAACCTTCAAGACCTGTTCTTTGACAACGGTAGCACAAATTTAATATGGAAAGAATAAAAGACCAAACCACCTAGAAAAGACTTTTTAAAATTGTCCTGAATAACATTTGAACCAAAGAAATCAAATCTGTAATTTTAAGTTTTTTAGAAAATAATCAGAAGATCTATATTATGAAAACAAAGCATGAAACCAAAGCTTTTGTCTGGTGGGAAATCCATAGCACTATGTTCTAATCCTAAAGAATAAAAATAAATAAACCTCACAGTCAACTATAAGATTAAGGAGGGCCAGGGACTTAGCTCAGTGGTTCCGGTGCCTGCTGCGCAAGTGCAAGGTCCCAAGTTCGATCCCCTGTACCAAAAAAAAAAAAAAACAACAAAAAACTGAGGAGACACAATGGAGACTCAAACTATAGTGGAGATTTATTGTTGTTTGTTACATAATTTTGATTTTTTGGCTACCTAGCTTCTGGAGCTTCTGTCTACATCACAGAAATCCCCTGGCACCCCTCCTGTGAATTTCCCAGCTACCTAACATCTTTCTTCAATCCTTCTTTTCCAGATTATATTAACCAGAATCAGTTTCTGTTGCTAATAATTTCAAACTTTGACTAGTCTTCTGAATAAAACAGAAGGAAAGAACATATAAGGATAAAGAAAAACTAACAAGAGAAAAAATCTGTATCAATGATAAGTAAGTTCAGAAATTGTTTAAAAGAGCGGTACAATTGGCAGGCATTCAATGAGTCTAATCACTGGAAAAAAACTAAGAAAAATCACAAATATTTTTACAAAGAAAAATGTATGTGGAAGTTTCTAAAGGGAGCAAATTATGAGAATATGATCTACAACTCTACACTTGATTAAATTGAGATACCAGAATTAAAGTAGAAAACTTGAATATATGACCAACCATGGAAGAAATGCTCATAAGCTTTTTTTATGTTTTAAATAACCTGCTTCATTCTCATAGAGCCAGATTGGTTTAGGAGGAAGTTCTTTAAACCCGTGCTGTTTAAACTACTCTTGGGCATGGAGAAAGCAGGCAGCTGAATGTGGTATACACAGCCCTGGACCAGCCCAGGACAAAGGAGATCCACCAGGCCTGGTTCCTGCTGGTTTTCTGCCTTGGGCGACAGCTACCCTAGGAGAGACTTCACTCTCAAGTGGGACTGCTGGTGGACAGGCCATCTGTGGCTGGTGTCAGCCACCCCTCGGCCAATCAAGCCCAAGTGCTAACCAAATCACCCTCAGCAATACACTGAGCACCAGGGCTTCTCCTAGGTTCACACATTTCTCCCTCATCAGACTCCAGTCCACTCCATACAAGGTAATATGAGGAGACTAAGGCACAAGACCTTGGCGTGACTTGCCGGGTCCTCACCAGGATGAAGTCAGGGAGAAGCACTTGGGCCTGACTGCCACAGGAGAGGCTGTGAGATGTTTGTCTTGAAGAAATCCTACACCTGAGTGGATGTCAGGGCCCAGACAGAAGCAGGACATGACAGGGCAAACTGGGGTCACTAAATGGGACCCAGTGAGGGCCCACACAGAAACTGTTTTTAGGCTGAGACAGAAGGAGGAAGATGTTTCTTCCATTGTCAAGTGTCGCCAAAGTGGGTTCTAAATGTTAGGTGCCTTGGTCCTTGGAAGGCAGATTCTGGGGAGAGAGTCAGGTCAGGTATGACCGTGGAGTCCACACAGTGCTCCGTGCCCCAGGCTAGGCCTCACTGTGGGAGGGCTGACTTGTGGACTCAGTGCAAAGTGACGTCCTAGAAGGGACAGCGGCCGCAGTCTCGGGGATCCCGGACTGCCGAAGGGTCCCGGATAAGCTCCCCGCAGGTAGCTGCTCTTCATAGCTCACAGGGAGACTGCAAGAGCACAAAACTGCCTGGTCAGATTGCACCCAAAGCACAGTGTCCAGCCGTCCGCAGACGTCCTCCCAGGACAATTCCCCTGTCTTGTTCCTTTCCCTGCCCAGGCACCTTTCCGAGGGCCTCTTTCCTAAAAACAGACCTCTCCCGGAAAACGTGCCAGAGGAAGGATGGCGACGTTGCTGGTTGGTGAACAACAGCAGGTTTCCCACCAAGTCCCCAGCGTGACACTCAGACCCCGCGCTCCACGCCCCGCGCCCCGCAAGGCCTCTTGGCTCGGCCAGAGGACCAGGTCCTCCCCGCCGCGTCCCCTGCCCGCATCCTCGGGTCTCCACGCAACAATGCGGGTGGGCGGTTCGCAGCCTCATTTGCATACCGCCTGGCTGGGCCAATGGGCGGCGCGGGCTCTGCGCGCTGGGACCCTCAGCGCGCGCGCGGGTGCGCGAGGTGACAGCGGCCGGGCCGGGCAGTGGGACGCCGAGCCCAGCCCGGGGGACCGGCCCGCTCCCCAGCGCAGCCGCGATGTCGGTGGCCGGGCTGAAGAAGCAGTTCCACAAAGCCAGCCAGGTAGGGTACCCCGCTGGAGGGGCCCGGGCGCCGCGGGCCTGAGGCTCTGGCCTGTGGGGCTCAGGATCGTTCCTTCCCGCCTCGCTGTCTTCGGCCCCTTCCCGGTCCACGGCCCCCACTGCTCCCCGGGCCCGGGCACAGCAGAGTGGGGAGCAGCGGGCAGCTGCGGGGTTTCGCGCGCTCAGACAGGGGACGGGGAGGCCTGGAGAACCCAGCAACCCCGCCGCCGCGCGCTGGAAGGGGGACCCCGGCGAGCAATCGCTGCGGGCTCGGTCCCTGCCTGGGGGTGACCTGGCGCCCCTGCGCCCCTGGGGGCCCCCGCTGCCCCTCTCCTCCTACTCTTCCTGCCTGGCCCCGAGCTTAAAGGGGCTCCCCTGTGGCAGGGAGACACCTACACCTGCGCGTAAACAAACAGTGCCAGACGCGCGGAGGCGAGGGCCACGGGCGAGAACACGGCGGGGGCGTCAGGCAGAGCTTCCCAGAGGGGAGGGGGAGGGGAAGGGGGAGCGGGGAGAGGAAGGGCACTCAGAGTGGAGGAAGCAGGAAAACAGCGAGGCATGGCATTGTGTTGCGTATGTGTGTTGATGACAACCAAATTTGTTGTCCAGCCCTGCAGGTTCTGCCTGCCTAAAACCTATTATTCCGCACTCCTATCCTGCCTCCTCAGCCTCAGTTTTGGAAGCCCTCAGGTGCACAGATGCCAATGCGATTCAGTGCTCGCTCACATCCTGCTGCTTCCACCAATAGGTCAGGGAGGAACCCTTTGGCTTGCCCGAGCCTCCTCTTTCAGCCTCCTGAAGGGCAGCGCCACCACTCCCTCGCACTCCTTCCCCAGGAAGGTGGGCAGTGCTGTATGGGGGCACTGGAGGGACTGGGTGCTGTTCAAGGGGTGGGAGGGCAGTCATGGCCATTCGCCGCTGGCTCTAGAGGAGGCATTCAGATGTCAACATTTAGATGTCAGCTGGCCTTGGGGCAGGTGCCTGTCCTGTTTAGGGCCCAGGGGGTGAGGCCAAGACAGGAGCTACTGATTTGGGGGCATTTGCAAGGCAAATGGAGGCTTAGAAAGGTAAATGGGAAAAGGCACAGTGTGCTAAACACAAACACTAAGGACAACCACATTAAGGGATATTGGCTAGCCCAGAGTTTGATAAGCAGAGACCACTCAACAAATATTTTTGAATAAATGAAGTTTGGGGTGGAGCAACACAGGAAGGAAAGAATTAAAGAATATAGGAGAGAGAAAAAATGGGACATGTTTAAAGGCAGGAGCAATCCGGGTGCTCCTGTGGGGTGAGTAGGGCAGTGCAGTTGGCTCGGGCAGCAGGCGGCCAATGCTTCTCAAAGCAATGCCAGAGGAATTGCTGGCAGCTTGTTACATGGGCTTTCTCAGCACTGATGGGGTGAAACTCCTAAAGTATTTTCTTTTATTGAGTAAGGACTTCATAGGCACAAAACTTGGAGATAATCAAGATGCCTTGGTTGATTCAGATTGTTTTCTGACCACTAACCTGAATGGATGGTTGAAATCTTCAGAAGTTATGCTCATTGGAGAAACGTTATGCCAGTGATAGGTGGTTTGGTTTAACTACTTATAATCAACCCATTAAAAATGAAAGAAGCCAAGGGTCTAGAAATCACTTGTGACTTTATATGAAAGGAAAAGCCATCACATTCTCTCTGGGTTTACTAATAACATTTTGTTCGTAAAATGTTTAACAGATAAATTTTTAATCTGTTCTAAAAGTCTTTCTAAGAAATCTTGCAATGCAACAGATTGGCTGGAGAAGTCAGACTGGGTTTAATAAAATAATAAACACACAGTGATTAAAAAAAACCAGCCAAATATTCACAGACAATATTTTAACAGTGGGTTTTAATTCACACAGAACTTTCCTAAGAGCAGGGGAAAGGAGTCCCGGATGATGTCAATGGGAAAGGAATTCCTAGGGATTCAGGGTTGGTTTGGCCAGTGGTCAGCTGTGTGACCTTGGAAACATGACTTAACTTATCTGGACCTTGGTTTTCCTCTCTGTAGGATGGATTAGAGGATTTAGAAGCTGTGTCCCTCTTCTAAAATCAATTGGTGATGGTTGCTCAACTCTGTGAATACACTTAAAACCACTGAGTTGTACATGTAGTTGTACAATAGGGTGAATTGTATGTCATATGAATTATATTAGTAAAGTGCACATATATGTGTATATGTGTTTATCCATCCCAGTTCTGAAATTCTTCCACATTCACTTAAAGATGATGAAGTAGATCTTTTACAGATAAAGGTAACAGGGCCATAGCAAACTGAGATCATTTTCCTCAACAATAGACAAGCTAAAATTACTTACAATCGCCTGGTTAATGGATACCTTACCTGTCTTTGAGAAAAAGATATCCTTACTTTACAGAGAATGATCTGTAAACCCCAAGATTATGCATCATTTTGGCTGAACACAGAGCCTAACAAGACAGAGGATAATATAAACTAAAATGAAAGGAGTATAAGTTGAGCTACTAACAAAAGTAAGTCAATTCTTTGCTTCAGCATTTGGAACTAGAACTCAGGTTTCCTGAGACTGTAATTCCTTTTTTTTTCTTGATAGATTAGTTTATAGAATTGTTTACTCTTCCCTTGATAGAGATGGAGCTGGAACTATTATAAATGAATCCAAGTAGCTTAGGGATGACCCTGTGGTTTCTTGTTATTGGTCCCAGAGCCTGACCAATGAAAGCACAGCTCATGAGAACTACGTTACTTGTCACTCACTGACTTGTGTTCATTATGCTTAATTCCTAGTCATTTTTCTTGACAGCAGGTATAGTTGGTGAAGGAGAACTAGACCACAGTAGTGGATACCCTGACCTGCACACTGTACTAAGACTCACGTTACAGGACCTTCGTACTTTCTAGGGCCTTATTCTACATCCCCGTAAAAGTTCAGGGACAAGTTTCGTCTGTTTTTCTTCTTTTCTCCCGAGACTATCTCCTGGTGACATCCTTGTGGACTCCATGTTAAATTTCTTTTTGCCTTTATGTAGTAATGCCCTTTGACCTCTTTCATGTGACCTAGAAACACAATAGGGACGAGAAGCCTTTAACGTAGCTGTTTGGTGACTTCTTCCCTGTCTCTTAACTGTCTCCTAATGCACTGAACAGAAAAACGGTAAGTGGTTATAAGGGGTCCGGTCACGTCCCCTGCAGTCACAGTCCAGGCTGACCATTGATGGGTAAATGCTTCAGAGAAGGATGTTCTTTCTAAATTATGAGATTCTCTAGGGAGAGAATGAATGTCTCTTGTTTCACATTCTCATTAGGAAGAAAAAAATGCACTTTGCAAAATCCATAATGATTTTTTCCTCTTAGATGCATCAAAATATTAGAGCTAAAATATTCTTACTGCTTTCCATATAGATGATTACTTTATAAATTAATCCATACAGTAAATCTGTGTGGGTTTAAAAAAAACGTCAGGGTGGAAGCTCAAATCAAATTGATTTGGATTTTTAAAAACATCTGAAGGATATAATATCATCCAAACAGTTTTTACCCCCTGGTAATTTTTTATTCTATAAACATAATTCAGGTTACCAATTGGAATTTGATTTTAAAGCAGAGATTTTTTTTCCTGTTATTTAAGATTAGTTTTTCAGATTTATTAACGAATCAAATATAAATTATATTTTCCAAAGTTAAATGTATTTGTGGGTGTCTCATGTGTATTTGGGGAAGTTATTATTGGCATGTTTTACCCAGAAAATAAAACTGTCAATAAATGGAATTGACACACTATTTTTAAATTTAATTAATTAATTAATTAATTTATGGTACTAAGAATTGAATCCAGGGCCTTCACACTGAGCTACATCCCCAGCCTCTTTTTATTTTTAAATTTTGACACAAGGTCTCACTAAGTAGCCCAGCTTGGGCTGGAACTTGTGACCCTCCTGCCTCAGCCTCCCAGAGTGCTGGGATCATAGGCGTGTGCTACCATGTGTGGGTTTTATTTGGCTAAATAATAGGTGAACATATTCTGGAGATTCTACATCAGCACAATGTGGATATTTTGATTTTGCTTTCCAACAGAAGCCTGGGAAGGTGTTGAGCTGGCGGTGGGCATGGGGAGGAGTTTGGGGGAAGCTGAGACAGGAAGGCATGGTCATAGTTCTCAGTATTCTAGTTCTCTGAAAGCCTTCTCCATGGACTCTGCCTTTGCAGTCCATTCCCTTTGGACTCACTTGCTTTTACCGCAGTGCCAGGAGCCAGTGACCTTCCTGAGCCCATACTCCTCTTGGTTTCTTTCCAATCTTCAGGCACTGAATGAATCTGTCTCAAACGCTGATGCCACCAAGGATGTTGCCCACTGCACTCATCCATCAATGGCAAGCTGCTGCTATTTCATGCTCCACGACTTGGGCAATGCCCAGTCAGTCTGACGAGTCACAGCTTGTCATCTGCATCCCAGCTGTTTCCTCCTGGGTCACAGCTCATGAGTCCAGCACATCCGGCTGGTCACTTGGTTTCCGTGCCACCAACACTGCCTCCTCTCCTTGTCCTGGGCTTTACCCCCGTGGGCACGTCTTTTCCACAGGACATTTCTTCTCTCCTGGGTCATTTTCATCAGCATGATGATATGCTCTTTAGTGTCTTCTATCTTGCATAAACAAAGGAGAAAACCTCCCATAGTCTCAGACTCCTTTTATCCCTGGCCCATTTCCCTTCTCCCTTGGTCTATCCCTGTCTCTGCTTTCTTGTTACCCATTCTCATCTCAGCCCGTTATGGTTGGCTTGCTTCTGCACTGCTCTGAAACTACACTCAAGTGATCTCCAGCTCTACATCTGATGGTCACTTTCCCATCTGAACTCTCAGCACCACTTGACCTGGTGGGCTGATATCGGAGCACAATGCCTTCTACACTTGCTCAGTTTTCTTCTGGACTCTGTGGCTGCTCCTTCAGGTCTCTCTTCATGGTTTCATGTCCCTTTGACTGATAAATCCTGGAATAGC